TCCATCCATCCATCCATCCATGCACGGGGAGAACATGCAAACTCCATGCAGAAAGACCCTGGTCCAGGTTTCAAACCCAGGGCATTTTTGCTATAATATCAGGAAACAGTATGCAACATAAATTGAATGATTTTTATGCATCTTTACCAAAGGTGCTCATTTTCATGGAGGAACTTGTACCTTTAAGACAGGTTTATGAGTCAAGTTTTTGTGTCATATAAAAGTGTTATGTTTGAAGATCCCTTTCACTCTCTATGGTGACATCAGTGAACTGAGAAGTTCATGTTTCAACTAGAATTTATTTGTTTTTCTTATTCCAATGTTTTCCTGTAGGTGACAGTTGAGAATGATTACACCGAAGTGTCTCCAAACCAGCAACTTGAAGTAACAGTGAAAACAGTTCCTAGCTATTGTGGCATAACGTGGTCCAGCAAGTACCATACCCCTGGTGAGAGCAACTCTTTGAAAGAATAATCATATATTGCAGGAAAGAAAATTATGTTTATTTAACAAGGAGATCAGTGGTCTTTTTGGAATCAGCATATATTGATCCTTTCTAGAGAATAACAGACCAGTCATTTGCTAATACCCAATCTACTCTAACTAGACATAAGGAAGTTGCTAAGTTTATACAGTACCAGTGTTAGATATGAGAGATGTCAATTAAATTCAGTTTATTTATATAGCACCAATTCACAACATGTCGTCTCAAGGAACTTTGCTCTTCACCAGATCATACAGTCAAATTAATTCAAACTTTCCTATCTAAGGAAAACCAGTTGATTGCATTGAATCATTGACTCGAATGCAAATCCTCACACTAAGCATGCTTGTAGCGACAGTGGAGAGGAAAAACTTCCTTTTAACATTATTGTCACAACACAGTATCTGATCAAAAGCTTGAGAAGCTTCAGCCTGGCTTTTATGAACACTCCTCCAACAGTATTCTGACAATGAAAGCGAAACTTTGGCCCAAAGGGGGAACTTTGACCTTATCTTCATTTCCCCATGTTTGGAAACAACCCCCAGGTCCCAGCAGTAAAATACCTTGGGCTCAAACAAATCAGACCCTGCAGCAGGAGCAGATTAAACAGAGCAAATACTTTCACAATTTCTCATAGCAATATGGCAACACATAAATAAGTGCAGTCATCCAGCCAGAACTGCAGATCATATTTAAGGAAGCAATGTTTAGTGATCTTCCACGTATTTCTTAGTGTTAAATGAAAACGAAAACCATTACACTAATAACTAGGGCTTTGGCAAGCATTAGCAAACATGACTCATAGCAGAAAACTAACAGGAACAAATATAATTTAGCTACAATATAACAACCAATTAAGAAATAGAGCTGGTGCATTTTATGTTACTTTAATGCATTTTTGATCAACCAGTGCCTAAAACAAAATATGCTATATAAGAAATATGGTGTGGCTTAAGATGGTCCTCATGAAGTAACCATAACCCCCACCACCACCACCCCAACAAAATAAAAATAAAAGCAGTTTATTGATTGATTGACTTTATTGATCTCACAATGGAGAAATGTACTCGTTACATCAGCTTAAATAGTAAAAAAAGAAGAATGTGCCAAAGGAAGAAAAAGGTGCATGGGATATATAGAGCGCATACAGTGCATCCACATATGACATTTTATTTTAATTTTATTTTTTCTATAGTAGGATCATTAGACTGGGTTATTATACCTAAATTTCTATATATTTTTGACCACTTTTTGCTAACTTGCCTGATAATTTTTCATTTTTTTCCACAGAGTGCTCTAATGAAGATTTGAGGAAAAATGTCCCAGAATGTATCAGTAAGTACATCTTTATTATTCAGTTACACTTAATGTTTTCGTCCGAGTACACAAAATCGAACATTTCAAGTTCTCTGATAACAAAGAGCGCATGAGCAGACCACACCGTCTCCTATTTACAATAAGCTGACTGATTTTGCGGGTTTTCTGCCTTGTCCAGCTTTGTAATAAATAGATCTCTTCACCTGTTAACAAAAAGAGTTTCTTCTCTGCCTATTAGCAATAAATGGCATCAAAAGAGCGTGGTGCGACCTGGGATGATGCAGAGACTGAGGCTCTCATTGAAATTTGGGCGGAGTAGGCTATCCAGGCACATGAGTTCCTGAAATGTTATGGGGGCCACCATTTTTGTTTGCGTAATTCACGCCTTGAGAGCTGTAGTATAGTCGACCGCCAATAGGAGGCAAGGAACCGTAATAGTGTGATGTGTGCTCGGCACGGTTAACTGATCCAAGCTCAGTCCGAACTCGGAACGGACCGGTTTCAGAGGGGTAGTGGAAATGGGGCATACCTCTGTGAACGGGACCTGAAGATGCTTGAGGAAATTCTGATGTTTAAATCTGAAAGAGCAATCCGTCATTTTTGCAGTTTGCAGTTAAAATGTGTTGTCCAAATTCTACCAGTAATGTTTTAGAAGAGAACGTCAGTTTTGTACTCTTGCAGCACTGCTATGTAGGTAAAATCTATACAAATAAGCAGAGAAAAGGTGAATCTAAGAACAAAACAGAACCACCCACCTTTATTGTTCTCATACCCCAGAATTGTGGATGGTTGAGTATTTCTTTCAACAAGCATAGGCTATTTTTATGCTCAGTCAATATGTGATGATGGAAGTTGCACACAGAAATGTAGACTTAAAAAGTTGAGACGGCTTGAGTGGACTTTACTGAACAACAAAAGATAAAGGTATTGCAGAGAGAAAAGACTTTGAAAATCCAAGGCATAAAATGCATGTCAGAACTCAACCAGGATTAACTGGACTTTTCCAGGGTAAGCAAAAAAAAGGGTTGATTTGGATAATAACCCAATAAAGAATGTGGTATGTCAAGCAGAATGACTTTGAAAGGAGGTATGACTAAGACTGGAGTTATAAGAGACTTAAGAACCAGGTGTAGAAAAAAACGTTTAAAAATACAAGGAGCAGATAAGAGCAGAAAAACACATAGAAGACAACATTTTGAACAAACCCATAGACATCTATAAAATATCAGAAACTGACAGCTCTAAATTTTATAAGATAAAATAAATTCAAGGCCACAGAGATTTAGTGTATGTGACAAAAGAATAAAAGCATCATTAAGCTATTATCATAAAACCATTACTTCACCTCTGTTTTTTTTCTCAGCTTTGCAATGTTTTCATAACTAGACATGACATGCAAGAAGCTTGGGACTGAGAGATTAATAATTATAGTCTGTTTTATTATACTTGGATGGGAGGGCACGGCTTAAAGGTGAAGTTAAGTGGCATGGTTTTTTTTCCACCTCTTTATTAAAAAAAAACAAGACCTGTTATTTTATTTTAAAGTGGCATTTTACCCAATGTTTTTCTTTTGACTGCGTGACTAGCCGGTATTCTGTAGGAACATGTCAGTTGATTTTCAGAGAAAATTACGGCTGCATTTTAATAATGCTTTTATTTAATTTTATTTACTTTTATTTATTGTAGTTATTTTATCTTTTTGTGCAGCACTTTGGAAACCTTGTGTTTATTGAAATCGTGCTATATAAATAAAGTGGATTGGATTGGATTGGATTGGATTGAATGTCTTGTTCAAAATCCTAAAATCCTGAAACTTGTCATTTGAATTTAATTTATCGGGACTGCTCAGAAACTCTTTAAAACACAGTTCGAGCTGTATAGAATTGTTGATCTATGTGTGGAAAAAAGGGGCTTCAAGTATTTTTCAGCATTGGCACCATCTTTCATCTTTGCTAGACAGGCACCATTCAAGCGAAAACCTTTGCTTTTGACCACAGTTCGCCATGACTAATACAGAATTACAGGAAATCGGTTCTACACTTTCTTTTCTGAACCTTAGCTTCAGTTTCTGATTGTTCTTTTATCCTGTATCCTCCAGCTGGGACTCTTTCTTACGTTTTAAGCCCAGAAAAGAAGGAGCTGACAATAAGCGTGACGGACATGCTTGCAGATCACGACTACAATCTCCGTCTCTGCCACAAGGACTTCATCTGCATTGGCACGGGAGTCTACACTCAGGTTAGAACCAAGGACTTTTAATTTGAAAAATTTTGAATTTTAGTCGAAGCACGAAAAATCCAATGCAAGATGTGAGCAGAGATAACACTTGAAGAGAAACATAACACACTGCTAAATTGGATGCACATGCTTTTATTTAGCTTAACTGGAGAATACATTTATTATAATAATGTAGAGGGAGTCTCCCCAAACTAAAATAGAATTGTAATTACGTATTTAAGATTTTCCGCCTTGTTCTATTTTTGTCTTGTCTAACTTGAACCACTTCTTTTGAAATGTCAAACCACCCATGCTCACATGACTTTCCACTGACTCACTAAAACTATTGAATAAAGTTTAATGCAACTATAGGACATGGTTGGAGTACTGCTGTAAAGATCAGATCGGGGATCAAAACTCATAATAACGGGGCTTATAGAAAACACTTCATCGGATGTCAAAATACAGCAAAAATATTTTCTTCCTTTTCAGGTAAAAAAGGAAAACCCCCTTAAGACTGCAGTCCTTCCGTATTCCAGACCTCTGCCTTGCCTTTGTATCGAGGTAACTTCCTTATCAGCATTCCAGCTTTTTGATCTATGAGTAATCACATCAATATACGGGCACCAAACTTGGATATTGTGATTCATTGTAGGGTTGGTCAGCTGTAGTGGATGCTCCTAGAGTCCAGGTCTGCCCATTCAAAGACCGTGAGTCAACGAGTGCTGCTATTGATATCTTGTAATACTATATCAGTTACCTTATCGCATGCCAGCTAAGCGTTCTGACCTATTCTCCCTGCAGGTCTAGAGGAATTGTGGTTTGGGATCACCTTTGATCCTCAAGAGGAAGCTTTGATATGGGAACCACCGTGTCCCGTCAAAGTTGTGGTGTGTTTATGTGAGAATAAAGAGGATGACGTCTGTGTTGATCTACCTGATTCATCACAGAGTGTCAGCCGAGACAAGGTAAATTACCTTTGAAAATGTATAATTATTCTTATGGCGGGCTGGGCACTGAAGTACAAGACAAGAATGGAATAAAACATGATGATATATTATTACGGCTCCTTTAAGGCTGCACCTGTTTTACAGCTTATACCCAGAGGCTAGCATACAGCCTTGAGAATGTTAATACACTCTGGGTTTGCTGTAGTAACACTGGTTTACTACCATAAAAGTGGTTTACAACATCAACGTGCTACACTACACTCAACAGGTTCCTTCTTCACAAGCTTTCTGGCTGCCTTAAACTAAACTGCTTTCAAAAGATGTCAACAACAAGAGTTTACATATTGGAATAAACAGTTTGAGTTAACTTTTTTACGTGGTCCCTGTAAAGTGGTGGGTTTATTCTAGCATTTTAACCTATAAACATTGTAAAGACATTGTATTAAACTTAACATAGACAATGACATCATTCTGCAGCCACAGAAGATTAGAGAATAGATTTTTTTTCCCGCTTAGAACCCAAGGCATGTAATTTAAGTGGGGAATGACGTACTTGTTATAAAAATATCAGGAAAGCAGAGAATCTTGTCAGTGTCAGGAATAAGAGTAAAATAGCCTAGATATAGATGAAATTTAAGATAAGTAACCTTTGCATTCAACACTGTTTTTTAGGTCAGATTTGCAAAGGTTGATCCTCACCCCAAACTCTGCATGAAGGTAAGGATTACACTTTTCTATCCTCCGGGTAGGGGTGTTTCAACAGCATACACTGAAATGATGGTTTTATTTGAAAAGATTTCTCATTAGGCTATTTGTGCTTGGATAGCTTGGTGATTTATAGCCAAGATATCCGTATCGGCTAGTCCTTGTCTTCTTGTTGCACTTTATAACTAAGTTTTGTTCGCTTTTAACACTTTTGCTCAAAATTAACTCCAGGATATAAATCCATCTAAACTTTTTTCGATTATACAAATGTATGTCATGAGGAGCTTTAAAGATCTAACACACATGCAGAGATTCACTCAGAGAACCACGGGTAAACGTTAACAGGTTTATTGGGAGGTTTACAAAAACAAAGAGAGAGGTTATTAAGCAGGGTAAACTCAGTTGAACCTCAGGGGACTGGTGAACCGGAACCGAAAACTGTTTGGGGGGGTTCTTGGTTTTCCCTTGAATCCAGTTTGTGGGGTTTTATCCAGAGATGAATGAACTCGTTGGAGGGCGGACAGGTAGAGTAGCGTTGGGTCCAGAGGAGCAATAGAGTGGACTGTCACCGGGTTTTCCTGAAGTAGACTTGAATGGATCTGGTGGAGGTTTCCCCTTGCTCGGTGATACTCAAATAATTCCTTCCATGGGAGGTAGAAGGTCCAGGCTTACCCAGTGGATCAGGAAGGCATCCCAATAATGGCAAAAACTCTGGTGTCGAGGTAGTGACAGCCCGCTGCTCAAATACTCCTCTGGTGATGACCCAACGAGCCGCAGGTGTGAGAGGAGGCCCAAACGAGGAGAGAGCACCATCTATTGGTGGAAAGGGAGAACAAAAGAAAACACAAAAAAACCTGCCACACAAACTGTAATCCTAATAATGTGATGGCAGTTTTTTTTTTTGGGGTGGGTTTACCAAGTTTAGCCATAACATTAAGAGTCTGTCTTTTATTGCAAAGATCCTGCCACCCACCCTGACTTTCAGGCTCATATTTGAACTGAACGAAGCCTTTAAAACTCAAGCTCAGAAATAAATTTGGACGTGTTAAACAAAGAGAATGCAAGTCTAACCTGATGGTCGATCTGCTGGAGGTTTCTTCCAGTTAAGAGGGAGTTTTTCCTCTCCACTGTCGCTACAAGCATGCTTGGTATGAGTAAAGTGCTTTGAGATGACATGTGTGGTGAATTCGCGCTATATAAATAAACTGAATTAATTTAAATAACCACGCTACTGATATTTAGCCAACAGAGATACACTGCTGACCAAACTCACCAAAACAAACATTAGCAAATATCTCGGAGGCTTTATTACTTTATATTTTGTAAACCTGAGTTTCTGGGACTATTTGGAGAGTGGTTGCATTTCATTTTTATTTAGCTAGTTTAGCTCGACAGCCCACAAAATTCCAGCTTTCCTCTCTCAATGCATACTCATATACACACATATATGTCCAACCAATTTCCATGTATTTGGACCATTTGAATAAAAGAAGTGTCATGGATGGGAACTATTAAGTGTTAATGGTTGTTGCCGGAAAAAAGCCAAATTGCTTCCATCAGTGTTTTAGGTGAGGAGCTTTGGGTTCATCGGGAATGTATTAGAGAGTTACAGGAAGCATACAATAGTTATTAAAAAGGTGAAACCTTCTATGAGCCAGAATGTGCTTTACAACCTTCATCCAAAGCCATTACCCTGTTGCTTTCCGGAATTAACTTAGTCATCTGCTTTGAATAAAAGCAGATGTGGTCAACCTTCTATGGAGCTTGAAGTGACTTGGCTTTCAGTTATGATGGATCATGGGGGGTTTCAGAGATTTGCTCAAGATTCCTAAACAAAGCATCCCTGATGACACCAAAGATTAATTGTATAACCAAGTTGGTTTATTGTAAAACCAGAAGCTCTTGTAAAATGACTCACACCTGGAAGCAGACAGGAATCTAAATTAAGGAGGATTCTTTTGCTAGGAAAATTAAGCAGAGGTGGCTTTTCTTTTAAACAATGAATATGTTAGGTTAGGTTAGAAATTTTCCATGAATATTTGAGGACTTTTTTTTTTTTTACATGCTTTTAACATAATTTCCTTTCAGTTTACAGTCGGGTCGCAGTCCTGGATCCAGTGCCCCTTTGCTGATGGGATTAGAGGTGCGTTTTTGTTTATTGTGATTCTAAAGAAAATACAGTGATTATTAGAAAAAGATGACAACCCTTAGCACAAAGTAGTATACTTGAAGTAAATTCTATTAAGAATACTTAAGTATAAGTATAAATTTAGAAAGTATTTTTCTAACTAAATTGGGGCATTTTTAAGTTTACTAAAGTATACTTTAGTAAACAATAAAGTAAACAATAGTATAGTCAAATACACTTGACTATACTATTGTTAAGTACCGTATATGAAATGTAGTTTAGAATAAGTAAACTCTAAGTGCACTGCCTGATTTTAAATATCAAATTAGTGCACTTTTAGTATACTTGAATAAACTACTTTTTGCTTTTCTAACCTTTGTAAGCTTTTTTTCCCCCCCCAGTCTGGGAAGTGACTGTTTCAACCCAACATGGACATGAAGAAATGCAGATCCTGTCAAGAGTTAAGGCAAAATTTTCCGTGGAGCTG